TTGTTTCTGCTCAAAATTCCAAAAAGAGATGCAAAATGAATGATCGCCCAACGTGGGGCTCGAACCCACGACCCTGGGATTAAGAGTCCCATGCTCTACCGACTGAGCTAGCCGGGCTGTTATAAAAGCATTGTCTGTTATAAAGGCATTCAACGCAATTTCAGGACAGACAATTTTCTTTGCTACCACCAATAACTAGCTAGAGCCAACGTAACCCACGCGATAGGAAACATGCATACATTTTCCGTCAGCGACATCGCATTTTGCCTCATAGATATCAGTAAGCTCTTAGAGCGATTGCTGTTTTGTTTACATGATATACTAGTTGAGTACAAATTATTTGAAGACACATGCAAACTATCGGTAGGCAAATCAACCAACCGTCACCCGCTTCTTGCCTACCATGAAGTCATGGCGATCGCTCGTTGATTCAACTTGCTGTACACAGAAAAAAATAACCAGAAAATTGACTTTGAAAATTCAGACTACATGTATATTTAAGAGTCCTAGACTATATACAGACTGAGTTAGATCTACGTCGGTGAAGGTTAGACATCCAGGTAATAAGATACTGTACGCGAGACAGTTACTCATGCAACATGGATATGATTTTGGAAAGGTCAGACGTTTCTGAATTTTCAAAATTGACTTTGAAAATTCAGACTACATGTGTATTTAAGAGTCTTAGACTATATACAGACTGAGTTAGATGTACGTCGGTGAAGGTTAGACATCCAGGTAATAAGATACAGTACGCCAAAATACTTGACAGTTACTCATGCAACATGGATATGATTTTGGAAAGGTCAGACGTTTCAGGTAGCGTTCACTACACACCTAGAGCTAGACAGTGAGCTAGAGCAGGCCTGGCTGTTAGATCATTACCAGCTAACCATAAGTAAATCCACCCTAAAGCTACGGTCACAACCCGCCGTACGTGCTTTTTGTCCGTACGTTTTTTGTGAGGCCACGTCTGCTACGTTTTTTCTGAAAACGTGGGGAAGGAGTGGCGTCGACGCACGTCACTCGTACGTCATTCGCACGGTTGCGCAAGGTATAAGAGTGTGGTCTGCACGCCACGTCTGGCGTGAGCGGTTGCGTGCATCGATCGTACGTTGCGCAAGTGGTAAGTGAGTTGTACGTGCTTACAACGTACGATCTCTGAGCGATTGCAACTTTACCGTAAAGAGGCCGTACTCACACGTGCCTCTTCCGTACGGTACGTACGGGACACGCGCGTCGCTCGTACTCGCACGCACGGGTGGTGAATCCGCAGACCGCACGTAGAAAAAGTTTTACATGCACTTCAACTTCTACGGCGTGTCTGCGTGCTCCCAAATCCGTAGGATTCCGTACGGAGGTGGTACTCACCACGCACGGATGCCCTGCGTTTGCCCACGTTTTTGCACGTAGACAGCACGCAGAAGCACGTACGACGGGTTGTGACCGAGGCTTTACTTACCGGTGAGTAGGAGGGTGATGGCGTAGGCGTTGATAATCCTCCTGCCGTGTTTCCCACAGAACAGCGGGATGACCAGGATCAGGGTACACCGCACCTGGGCAACACAGGATAGGTTTTTTAAAATCTTAATTTGTAGTATTAAGGTTGTAATTTTTAAGTGGAGAATGGATAAGTTTAAGTTTAACTGATTATTGAATGAACTTTATTGCATGTTCACGCCCTACACGGGCCAAATGCACTTAAGTTAAATAACTTGGTAACAAGAATAGAAGAAGCAATTGTTACATTCGTGTACTATTTCTCTATCTACAGGATCTAACTACAGGATCTCTTCTCTCTTTTTGAAACATGTATGAACAAATTTACATAGTTTTTCAATTATATCATAGCGCTTGGATGTCATAATATGTTTGAACAATTCTATTTTCGGCAAGTATGCAAATTTCTTTTCTAACTGTAAGGAGCAAATAAAGGATTTCCGGATGTCATTGTATACCGCACATTCTAAAACAAAGTGTGCTTCATCCTCTATACAGTACTATTATTCATTGTATATGTGCGAATTCATGCCCGAGGGCTAATTGCAACATGCAACTTGTATACAACTTTGTCAAACATACAATTATAAATATTCTGACCTGCACAGAAAAAGCGTACCCTAGCGACATGAGCAGCGCCACGGCCCCTCCGAACTGGAACCGCCTCTCTTCATTCTCGAAGGTCATTCTCTCAACAACACCAATGTAAAACGCTGAAAATATTCGGTAATATAAATCCTAATAGACCCATTCAACTTTCACAGATCGCATAAACTGCTTACGTCACAGCACGGACATCTCGAAAGAACGTCGTTCTAGAACGCTGAAGTCGAACGCGGCTTGCGCTCGCAGGGTCCCCCTTGGCAGATCATTTTTTTACTAAAAGGTAGTGTCTATTTTCTCGGTAATATATGCGGAAATGACGGGAAAACAGGCACCAACTTTGTATGGTGGCATTCCGTGCAACAATTAAAGGTTAATTTGTTCTGTGACGTATGCAGTTTATGCGATCCGTGAAAGGACTTTCGAAATGCCCCCCTGTGACGTAAGCAGTTTATGCGACCCGTGAAAGTCGAATGGGTCTATTCAGCCAATAAATATGGAATAAAGCAGAGTTTTTCAAACCTTTCGATCACTATGCAGCAATCTCCATCGGTCAAAAGAAAGAAAACATAAAATTTTCTTTCGTTTCACTGATGAAGATCACTGAATAGTGATCGAAACGTCTGTATATCTGCCTTATTCTAGTGTATTGGTAGCCTCTACCAGGCTTGAGGAGGCGGCTGGAAAGAGTAGAAATCGGCCAAAATAGAGAGATAAGCATGCCAAGGGAGTCAAC